AGAGGAGTTTTTTTAAGGGTGTATTAATTTTACTATTTTATAATTAATTTATAAAAAAATTAATTTTAAATTTATTAATTACTTAATTAAAATTATTTACATAATATTAATGTTAAAAATAAAACGTATTTTCATTTTTTTATAAAAATTTATTATTAAAAATACAACTAATATTCTTTTAATTTGTGATATAAACGGATAAGTTAAAAGATTAATTTTAAATTTATTAACTACTTAATTAAAATTATTTACATAATGTTAATGTTAAAAAATAAAGCTTATTTTTATATTTTACGTTTTGACACAATTCAAAGTTTAAAACAAAAAACTTTAATTTTTATGATCAATATTCACAGCACTGCACAAAAATCTTAAAACATAAATTTTGCAGTACTTGATAACGGGGCACTTAGACCTTGAAATTTTAGACGGGCCTAGTGTACAGTGTATTATGTGGAAAATTGATGGTGCGTTTAATTATTGTGTTCCTAAAGTCACGGTTAAGCAATAACTTTTTTGACTTTCAATTTTTTAGTGACGCCGGCCGGCGGCTAAGATTTTTTGGTCATTCCGGCTGTTTGACTTGTCCGCCCGGAGACAAGTGCGGATTGTGGGATCCAACGGTAGGGAAGAAGTTTTCAGGTCTGAAGAAGCGGGTGTCATGACAAACAACATGGATATTCCCAAAATATTACGCAAATTGCTAGTATTAGATGCTCCATCAGTCCAGAATTAAATATCTTTTTTATTTTATCTTTAAATTTATATTTTTACTTACACTATTTTTAAAAACTAATACCCATAAAGATTAAAAAATAATATTTCATTTATGTTATATAAAATATTAATTATTTAACAATATAAAAATTTAAATTTTTAACTTTAATTTTAAATTTAAATTTTAAATTAATAAATATTAATTCAATTTCTTCTATATGTAATTCAGTAATCGTAGCGAGTAAAATTAATTGCGAACTCTGTTAGTAAATATCGGAGCCCATCAAAGATGACTAGGCTTACGACACTATTCTTGATTGACTCTAGACAATTGACTTTCAAGTCCACTTATCAATGGGCGGAGGCGGCCATTCGTGCTCTGCTTGACTTTCGATTGTGTTCGGTCGGAAAACAACTAAGAATTTTGGCATTTTGCCCTTCTAGCACATGTTTGGCTGGTGGAGGAAGAATGAATGAAAGGGATAAGAGAATGATTTTTCTCTAAAAGAAATTTATTTTTTTATTTATAAAATTAAAACTCAAAATCTTATTTTAAAAGAATTACATTTTGTTCACTCAAATTAATAAGTTATTAATAAAAAAATTTTGTTTTGTTGATTTCATTAGTTCTTTGATTTTTCTTAAATATATTCAAGAACTAACCAGGTGATTTTTTTTTTTCTTTCTAACATGTTACAAATGTTGGAGAGGAGTGGGTTGAACCCTCCAATTTTTTTTTTTTTTTTTAAACTTTAAAATGAATTTCATTCATCATGAGCAGAACACATATACACATCAACACAATTAGCGCAAATCAGAGATGAGCAAGTCATAAACATTTGGTGGGAAT